CGAGCATCTGTGGCAGATTCCTTGTGTTGCAACAGCGTGGGTGGCCTGTTACGCAGCGAGGTGACTACAGCAGGCACAAGCACGAATCGCAATGTGTGCGGCAGGTCATGGGAACATGCAGGAGCCAGGCTCAAACATCCCCCCATTGCAAGCGCGCATCCAGGCAGGCCCAGGCACTGACGTGCAGGGACAGTCCACAGACGACCCCCCCCCACCTGAAGACTGGATGGCATGACCACGGCATTGGGGGTCAGCAGACGCCGCGCCGCATCGTCTATGGCCGGTAGCAAGCCGAGTCCCAGCACCCTGCAGGGCAAGGGGTGAGCAGCGATGGGTGGTTTGCTTGCCTGGGGTGCCGCTCGAGGATGACGGGGAGCGTGCTGACCCCGCGCGCTGAAGCCTGCCCCTGCCATGCTCGGCACATGCCCGTGCGACGTTCACCGCGCCTCGGCAAGTATTCCTCCCCCTCCGGGCCATGCATGAAGGAGCGGGCCGAGAGGGCCGCGGCTCGTTCTCCCGTGCGCACCATCCGACGGCAAGAATGGCACTGTCCCCCCCCCACTCCCAGCCCCACCCCCTCACCCATGGTCCATCAGATCGGTGACGAGCACGTCCGCCCTGCTTTCCACCTGCACGCCACCCTCCGGCGCCGGGCCCTCCTCCCCGGCCACCGCCAGCCTGGCCTGCACACAGTCCGCCAGGGTGAGGCCCTCGCTTCTGGTTCCAGGGTTGCTGTGCGCCACCTGCTTGGCCATGCGGTACAGCATGCGCCCGCGCTGGACGGAGGTGATGCTCGCCTGCGGCGCCGCGCGCGCCGCCAGCGGACCCAGCACCCCGCCCCCCGACTCGAGGACGAGCACGTGGCATGCCGCCGCGCCCAGCGTGCACAGCGCCGCCTCGTACTGCGCCCAGCGCCGGGAGTCTGCCAGCGTCGTGAGCGCGGCCTTGGGTCCCGCCAGGTCAGCGAGGCTGGACAGGTAGGAGCGCAGGAGGGTGGAGTGGGGGGAGGAGGGAGCGCGGGGCCGGGGCCGGGTCTTCATGCTCGGCAGGAACGTGGGCCGCCTGGGGGTGAGGGGTGGCGTGGGGGTGAGGGGGGTGATCAAGACGATAGTGGGTGGGAGAGGGGTTGCAGCGGAGGTCCTAGCTGTGGGATGGGACGGCAGGGAGTATGCATGCACGCTGCCAATGCAGGAGTGCCAGAGAGCACAGAGGAGTACGACCCGAGGGCAACCATGTGAGTGGTCCACGCTTTTGGCGTGTGCCCTTGCTGCGCTGTGCTCCAAGCGTGCACCGGCTTTCCCGTGCCGACGGTACCTCCCAACAACTCAGCCTGGCACATTCATTCTCCAAAATGAAACTCCCCCTCCCATCTTAATCGCCAGCCCACCAGTCGAGGTCTTCCAGGTCCCAGCGAGGCCCGGTCATGCTCTGCTTGAACTGGCGGAGGGCCGCCTGCCTGGCGGCCTGGCACCGCAGCTCTCGCAGCCGGCTCACCACACCGCGACGTTCGACGGCAGCCTGCGCTCGCCGCGCGGCGCCCCTCTGCGTCAGCACCCAGTCGACCTCCGCCAGCCTCGCGACCTGGTGGGTCCGAGGGGGGACAGGGGGGTGTGGGTTTACGCCGGCGTGATTGCAGCCAAACTCCCACGTGCACCTCCAACAAGCCCTGTGCACAGCCTTTGAGTCAGCTCGCACCATGGCAGCATCCCCAGGAGCAAGCTCCAGGCCCTTGACCAGGGCTTGCCGCGCGCCCTGCCACTGGCAGAGGGACATGGCGGCGCAGGCGCGCCGATAGTGTGCCTTTGGCCATGAAGGGGACAGGGCGATGCACTTCTCTGCGTCCCACAGCGCCTGATCGTTGAGACCCTCTGCCAGGAAGGCGGCAGACCTGTTGCTGTACAGGGCGGCATCCGACTCGTCGCCGGCAATGGCCTGGCTGTACAGCCTGATCGCCTCTGCGGGGAGGAGGGATTGGAGCAGGACCATGCCTTCAGGATGCATGCCGCAGGCCCTGCCAAGAGCGATGCGTCAGCCCGATGGACCAACCTGCGAGCTCACCCTTGTACCGGTGGGTGCGGAAGGCCTCGTTCCCGGCCGACTTGCTCTGAGCCACTACGAAGGCCAGGGCCCGGGGGTCTGTGTCTTTCAGTCGCACGCCGTAGTAGTCCTCGATCTTGGCCCGGCTGCCAGGATCGCAGACGGTCCGGTCCACTGCCGTGCCATGATCAGATGTCGACATGGCACGACACCCTTCCACTCCGAGCGGGAGCGCACCGGAGGTTTCTAATCTCTACTAGCAGGATTTCAGAGGTACCTCGATGTATTGCTGACATCATTGGACCTCGCAGTGGAGGTAAAGAGAGTAGTCGCACGGGCTGGGAAATTGACCACCGCACGCGCAGCATGAGCTGTGCTGCTGGTGCTCAGATACAATGGAGACTAGTGGAGGTCTCCACCCCCTTCCATGAACAGTTCTATTCACCCCAATCTGATCCATTATTGTTGTACAGGAGGGGTTGGCTTGCACAGCCATGGTGGTTCATTTGGACTGGATTCGTTCGCATGCGTGTGGACGGCAGGAGCCACAAATCGGGGGCGTCCCAAAAGGTTCTCGCGCCAGGCTGCGGCGTGGCATTCATCTCCGGGGCGGAGCGTGGTATGGAGTACGTGATTCGTTCGAGATCCGGAGTCACGAGAGTGGGACGGAGGGCCGGCTCGCTTCAGCAGGTCGTACCCAGGTTCAGAGTGAAGAAAGCGGGGGCGGGTTTGTTACCGCCGTCGGCAGGGTACCCCGCGGGGTGAAGAGCGTGCGGGTCGCCCCGGGTGCGCGCCTCGGCGCCGCCGTATCGCGGCGCGTGCCCCATGAAAGAAGGCGGCGGCACCCCGGCCCCGAAACCAGAATGTAGAGTGTGGGTGGGGGATTGGAAGGCGGCATCCAGGCTGGTCCTGCCCATCGGCCCTGCGCATGGGGGGTGTGGAGCGACGGGGGATGGGTACCAGCGGCAGCTTGGTGTGTGGCGGTGGTACGGGCCGGGGAGGAAGGCGTCGCGGCTGACACATCAGGAGTGCGGGCCGATGATCCTCGTCCATCTGGGCACGCCACCACACCCGAGCACCTCCACACGCAAGCGAGACCCACTGCAGAGCATGGGTGCAGCGACACCCTCGTCGCGCCACCCCGACGACACCCGCCCGACCAGCCCCTGCTCACCAGAGAAGGCGAGGGGTGGCGAGGGGCGGGGCACTGCATCCGCCCCAAATGTCTGGGAGGCGGAGGGGGGCGGGAACCCCAGCGAGGCAAACTCCGGGATGGAGAAGTCTGGGTGCAGGCGGTCCAGCGCCGGCCCGCCGCCCCTGCCGCCGCCCAACGGCCCGCCGGGCGCGGAGGGCCTGGCCATCGCCGGGGCGCCGGGGCGTGCGACCCCATTCCCCAGCAGCTCCGGCATCGTGGCCAGCACTGCCGGGCCGTGGTTTTGCAGGAAGGAGGCGAAGCGCACCACGCACTCCATCCGCTCCGCCAGCACCGCCTGGGAGGCGCGACAGGGAAAAGGGGGGGTGGGCGTTCTCACGTGAGCATGGCATTCTCGGCGGGGCTCATTGGCCCCGCTCGCAGCTTCCTGCCGCCGCCTGCATGACGGGCGTCAGCCGAGCCAGGCCAAGGCCGAGCCCCACACGCGCGCCGCAGAGAAGTCCCTGCTCCAACACAGTGTCATCATCCAGTAATCCCTTTCGATACATGCATGACACACACCCTTTCCCCCCCCAAGCGCACCTTGGTGAGCGCTGCAGCGTGCGCGGCGGCCTCCTCCTCGGCGGCCGCCGCCTCCACTCGGCGCGCCAGCTCGGAGCGGTCCAGCGCGGCTTGCAGGCTGGCCAGCTGCAGGCGGAGCAGGGCCACCTCGTCCTCGGAGGAGGAGGTCGCGGCGGGGTCCAGGGGCGCGTGCGGGTCTGCTGGCGAATCCGCGACGCCCGTCGGGCCACCCATCATGTCCGTGGGAGGCTCCACGGCCGTGGGGCGCGCCGCCGCGGCCCCGCCGCCCCCGGCCGTCGCCGCCACCGCGCTGTCCCCGTCCCCCGCCGCCGCGGCGGAGAGCGGGGGAAACGCAGCGGCCACGGAACCCGACACGCTCGCGGCACCCGCCCGCACGCCGGCCCACGGAGCCAACGAGGGCCCCGTCCGCG